CAACAATGCTCACGTGAAACATGGATAAACTTTCCAGAAAATTCATCATTATGCCAGTCATCATTTATTAAAAATAAAATAAAATCAATATATACTGAGGTACATGACTTCTACTAGGAATTTCTTTACTAAACCATGATGTCAGAGCAAAGCAAAAGTATCTGAAACTCAACTAAAAATAAACCTTGAAGGCTTCAGAGATCTGTTCTTGTCCCTGCTTTAATCCTTGGGATGTGTTCCCCTGAACCAGGTGGGAGCAGAACAGTGTGTGGTGTGGCGTAACCACAGCGTGTGGGTGCAGTAAATTCGCATCCTCCCAAATGATGCTGTATCACCTCTTCCTCCCACAGAAACACCATTATTGAACTGACTGAGGAGAGAGAAGGTAGAAAAAGCCTCTTGTACTTTCCTTCAGTCACAGAGAGGTAAATCATGGAAGCAGGACCACTCAGAAGTGACATCGAGATTGCTGCCTTGCAGCTTCCACATGTATGTGTTGGGCAGAGGAAGGACTTTACTAGTTTCTTACCAAGCATAGCCCCCAAAATGTACTTCAGAAACGTTTGTGAAACCTTTTTTGGCTCAGAGATTTTCCTGCCCCAGCAAAAGAGAGATAGTAAGGTACAAAAAAACCCCATTAGTGCCTCATTGAGGGAAACACTGTAGAGTGAGTTCAGACCTCAAACTCCATTGATCTCACAGGGAAGAGTACTTTGCTTCTTCCTGCGTCACTGGTAGAGATTATATCAATTCAGATAACAATACAGTTAATGCGTCTTGCATATTGCAAATGCTTTCAGTGGCATGTTTAATAAAATTATATTTCTATAAAACATAGGCCTTGACTATAATTAAGCTGAGCCATCCATAAAGATACCAGTAGATAATTCAGTTGCAAAGAGCTATGTTTTGAAGCAAGTAGGGATTTGTTTTCAGTAGGAAAAGCAACCTATTGATTTAGACATGTTCTGCTAAAAATACAAGTTTTACTGCTGTTTGTGAATAGGGTTGTTTGAGTACCTTTTATGTTTTATTCAAGCCTCAAATAATTACCAAAGGATTTAATTTTAAAATGTTTAGCAATTCAATGAAGTACAGAACTCACACGGTTACTTAGTTTCTTTCAAGAATAATTTCTCTGTGAAAGCTACCTTGCCTTCCTGTGGCTCAGTGTATTACAATTCTCATTTTGTGAGGGGAAAACTGAGTCTATGTGCAAGCTTCAAATAATTGGTTTTCTTTGGGTGACAATATAGGCTTTCATTACAAAGCCCAGATATTTCAGAGTATTGAAGCACAGCTGGTGTTCTTTGAATGGGGGAAGTTGATGTTTCAAATTCTTGGAACCTTTAGACCGTTTTGAGATTGATCATGTGTTTTTTCTGTGGTAAACTGGATTATTCAGAGGAGTGCTACTAATGAGAAAGCAAGCCTGTCATCTCTCCAAGTGTGGCGTGACCTACACAGTAATAATCAGACACAACCTGATTACAGTTTACTGGGTTTCATTTGTACACACACCCACAAACATCACATTATATGATATGTCTTCCCTAGCTGTCATGGTTTAACCCCAGCCAGCAACTAAGCACCACACAGCCACTCTATCACTCCCCCCCTCATCTGGACAGGGAAGAGAAAATAGAACAAAGGGCTCGTGGGTCGAGATAAGGACAGGGAGAGATCACTCACCAGTTACAGTCATGGGCAAAACAGACTTGACTTGGGGAAAATTAACTCAATTTATTGCCAATCAAACCAGAGTAGGGTAATGAGAAATAAAACCAAATCTCAAACACCTTCCCTCCACCCCTCCCTTCTTCCCAGGCACAGCTTCACTCCCAAATTCTCTACCTACACCCCCGCCTCAGCAGCGCAGGAGAACAGGGAATGGGGGTTACAGTCAGTTCATCACAGGTTGTCTCTGCTGCTCCTTCCTCCTCAGGGGCAGGACTCCTCAACACCCTTGCCCTGCCCCACCGTGGAGTCCCTCCCACGGGAGACAGTTCTCCACAAACTTCTCCAATGTGAGTCCTTCCCACGGGGTGCGGTTCTTTATGAACTGCTCCAGCATGGGTCCCTTCCACAAGCACAGTCCTTCAGGCACAGACTGCTCCAGCATGGGTCTCCTGCAGGGGCACAAGTCCTGCCAGAAAGCCTGCTCCAGCGTGGGCTCCTCTCCACGGGTCCACAGGTCCTGCCAGGAGCCTGCTCCAGCGCGGGCTTCCCACAGGGTCACAGCCTCCTTCGGGCACCTACCTGCTCCAGTGTGGTGTCCTCCATGGGCTGCAGGTGGATATCTGCTCCACCGTGGACCTCCCTGGGCTGCAGGGGGACAGCCTGCCTCACCATGGTCTTCCCCACGGGCTGCAGGGGAATCTCTGCTCCGGCACCTGGAGCACCTCCCCCCCCTCCTTCTTCACTGACCTGGGGGTCTGCAGGGTTGGTTCTCTTACATGTTCTCACTCCTCTTTCTAGCTGCTGTTTCTGTCTGTCCCAGCAACTTTTTTTTTTCCTTCTTAAATCTGTTATCCCAGAGGCACTACCACTGTTGCTGATGGGCTCGGCCTTGGCCAGCGGTGGGTCAGTGTTGGAGCTGGCTGGTATTGGCTCTGTCAGACATAGGGGAAGCTTCTAGCAGCTTCTCACAGAAGCCACCCCTGTAGCCCCCTGCTACCAAAACCTTGATATGCAAACCCAATACACTAGCATATCTAATGAAACACATACATTTTTTGCTGAGAAGCGATGGAAGAAAATAATATCCCCACACTTGCTTGGAGACAAACTAGTGCAGAAGAATTCACAGAGATCAATACTCTTTTCTCATCAACAAAGAGATTCCAAAGGTGCTCTTTGTGCATGGATAATAAATTGCCCAACAACTTCCTTTAAGACCTGTTCTTCCACAAGCCTCAGTTTTGACACAAGTTAAGATGTAATCCTTCTAATAGGCAAACACAAACAAATTTCTGCTTCATAAATAAAAAATAATGCTTTGAGTATTGATTAACACTGAATGGCAAAAGAATTCCTCAAGAATAGATAAATGTCTGCCCAGACAGATGGACAACTGTGCTGCATCACAGGATGGACTTCTGAGCGGTCCTCAGAGTCAGAGCCAGAAACTCCATTTCAAGAACCAGTCAGAAAACTCCATGTATTGATAATTATAGTAGGCTCATCTATGATGGAAATGAAGCTTCAGCTCTAGGGCTGATGTAAGCATAAAGCTAAATATTTAAGAACTTAAAGATTTAAATTGGGACTAATACCAATTATGATTTGAGCACTCGGACAGGTGTTGAGAGTTAAGCTTGTTGGCAGCAAACTTTCTACAATGGTTGGCTCTCTAGTTTACTCTGGCCTCCCACAAGCTTCCATTTTCTTTTGTTCACACAGACCCAGTTTGTAGAATCATTCTTTGTCCCTTTGATGTTCTTTCCCTATTTTTGAACTATTTCTGACATCTGCCACCCTAAATGATTATTCTTGGGCTGATATTTGCCTCTGAGTTTATCTTGAGGTGCTAATGGAAAATTCCATAAGAAAGCAAATTTCATTACCAGTGACAGAACAGCTTAAGTAATACAGATAATACATAAGTCATCATAAGGCATAATGAAAAGAGTGATACTGATTTTGCAATGGTGGGTGTTAGACAAGCAGTTCAGCGTCTCTGTAACTCAATAAGTATCATGCTATATTCTGAGATAGATATTTGGAGAACAACTTCATCTCTGTAAACGTTAGCTTCTGCAGCAAAGTTCCTAGCAGCGTTTGAACTTATCTCTCCATGGCTTTTCCCTGCCTGTTATTTTTACCATGAGACAGGCAGGTATTGAGACATCTGAAAAGGTGCTCAACAGTCTTGGACTTGGAAGAAAGAGCCCACTGAAGTTCATGAGCTTGCAATCACTAATGTAATTCTTTTTGCCCTGTGGTTCATTCTGCATCCTAAAACATACTACACTGAAGATACAGAATGATTGAAGATAGCGACTCTTAGATGGGGGCATGCACTGAATGACAGCCATCTGATGTGACCATTATTTGCTTGCTCCTGTAACTTAAGGTTACAGTATTCCCTTTTCCCATAGTAATGTACCTGACCTCGATTCAAGAAATAAAAAAAAATCCACAGCAACAATAATAAAATGTCCATTTTTTTTCCAAACAAAGCCTCAATAAGTGATGATCTAAATGAATGAAGCTTAATAAATATGATAAGAAAAAACACAGACCCCCTGTCAAGCATGTCACCTGGCCATAAAAAGAACCTTTCAGACAGAGCTGAGAAAAAACTTGGGAGAATCAGTATCAGAATTCAGGCAAAAGATAGAATAAATGAAAAAAGTTTAAAATGGTAAGAAATTATTTGCCATTCTGAAGGAGCTTTGCTTTCCTGATTTTATTAATTCATCACTGAGACAATACACTATCTGCTAGTGCAAAAGCAAAGAAAGCTTTCTTTCCCGTATAATAGGGGACTTTAAAAATACTTTACTTTTTCCTAAGAATTTTGCTCAACTACCTGAAGAAATCATACATGTCACAAAGATTGGTTTCAGACAATTCAGAAGTTGCTGAAAAATTTTCACTTGCAAATCAAATAGTTAATTATGCTAATCTCTAAAAAGAAGTGACAATAAAGTAATCACATTTCTGGTCTCTATGCTGTCATTTTTTTCAACCATCCAGTGGTGGAAAAAGTAATACACATTACTAATTTTACTTTCTGCTTTGAAACTTCATTCTCTGAGAGCAAGTCAATTTTACTGTAGCTTCTGTTTCTGACAAGCTATTAAAAATAGGCAAAATGGTTTACAAAATTAGTTTAAAGTCAAAATGATTCATACCTTAAAGCAATGGACAGCACACAGAAAAAAATAGAAAGGTTCCTATCAAGAAGGCTTGGGGTGAAAAGTCACGTTACATGTTGATGTTCAGCCACAGAGTAAGCAGTGTCTGATTGCCAACTTTTTTTTTTTTTTTAATAGTTTGACGCAGACAGAGATGAGGAAGAGGTATTCTTTGACATAAGTTCGGCAGTTGACAATAAACTATTTGCAAACAAAGAGGCTGCAGCAGGTGAGTTAATGTAAGATTTAAAGAACCACATTTTTTATACCGCTTTTGACATTGGTGGGATGCCTTTTTCATATTCCTCAAGTATGGATGTATGTACTGTAGCAAAATCTTGACCGACCTCAAAGATGGGCAAAAAAAATCTCTTTACAACTTCATACAACCCCCCTAACATCTTGTTTATCTACAAACTCAGCTTAAAATACTATGGATAGTCCACTAAAGAACTATATTATTAATACAAAAACTTTATAAATTGATCAGTGCCAGTTGTCAGCTGTTTCAGTTCCAGATGATACCTCAGTGTTGACCAGAAAACCAGTCCTATGAGATTAACAATCATACTTCTTCCCTAATAATTGGTACTAATTCTGAAACTGTGTGCGAATATAAGTCAGGTGTCAGCGGGGGGTATTTATTTATTTATTTTTCATTTGTGCTTACTGAGGTCTGAATATCTTCAAAGAAGAAGCCTTTGAGGGACAAAGGCCTGCAAAAGAATAGAAGCTTAAAATCAAACCACTGAAAATCCATAATGTGTCAGAAATATTTTGCTTGAGGGGAACAGGAAAACGTTCCCTGGAAACTTCATAACTTTTTCTTTTTACAGATGGCATCCCTGGCTGCCTTCTCAGTAGACTGTGAGATTTATATAGGTAGATGAGGTCATAAACATCTTGTGAAACAGCACACAAAAAGAAAATTCTAGGTGAAATATTTTCCTGTAAAATTTACTAGCTTTATTAAAGTAAAGATTAGGTATATATAGTAGAGAAAATTGTTTATTTGATCTCTTCTCTGTTTAAGGGAAAATTCATCTGCGATAAATTGGCAGTCCGGGTAGTTTCAGTTATTTGTAATTGTGAACAATCATCTGGGGACTGCCAAGGAAGAAGGAATTGATGAAGCACAATGAAGTCTAGTAGTAGCAATACATCTATTATCTCTTTTTGACAAAGGAGGATCATTTTTTTTCTACTAGCAAGACATTTGGAAAGAGCAGTGCTTCAGACAGAAAGATTAGGTCATATCTTGAAGATTTGAAAGGGGGTAGGGGGTTCCCAAGCTAGCTAGTCTGTAAAACCCACCCATAAGGCTATTTTTGATAATGTTCAAAATTAGATAAAGATGAATTATCAGGGCGGGGGAGAGGGGGCAGGGTAGGGGTAAGGGGAGAGAATGATAAAAAGTGGATTAGCTAAAAAAAACAGGTTTCTAGTGGTCAGCTTTGAGGTAAGATGCACACAAGAATAGACTAGCTTTCTCCATTAAGTGGCAGGCTTACCTCTTTTGTGCTTTACCTAATTCCTAGAGGCAAGAGATTGATTCCAAACCTAAAATGGCATTCCCACTGTATAGCATTGTACTGATAATTACCTGTGGATTCCCTAATTAAATGAGCTAAGTACTGAATAGCAAGAAGAGGAAAGAAGTGGCATAAAGGTGCTAGCTCTGACAAACAGACTGACAAAAGCTAAACAGTTTGCACAAATTGGTTGTGATTCTGCATGAATTCCAGTCAGTTTCTTGAAAGTCTGATCTACTTAATAAATTCCTCACGTAAATAATTGGAGAGCTATGAGCTTTATCAGAAGCCATGCCACAATCATCTAATTGGTGCCTAACCTGAGCACCAGTAATAGTAAGGAGATTCGAAGTAGAATTTCTAGAGATCCTATGAGATGAGATATTTAATTTCTAGGGGTCGCAATTCCAGCATTGCCTTGATCTCACTTTTTGTCTTTTAATCTTATTAGTGATATTGCAATATATTTTGGTTCCTGGTGGCTAATGTAAACATAGTATTTCTAATAGTTTCATGCATCCACATCAATCTAATTTGTATGTTATACCTGTAAAATCCAGTTGTAATCAACTGCATAACAGTATATGCTGAAAGAAAACTGAATATTTTTATAGATTAAAATACAATTTTCTCATTATTGCCTTCTATGACATATTAAGACTGTTGCTAAGAGCAACAGCCTGTCATGAAACTCAATAGTTTAGGTTGCAATAAAATTAGTATTAGAAGCATCTGCGAACAAAATTAAAATGTAATCATTGTAATGCTAATCAGTCCTTCAGTAAATTATTTCTATTATATTCCACTTGAAATTTATCTTCTAAGCATTTGTCTTGCCCAAGTGCTTATATGCAACATGTACTAACTGAGTTATTAGAGGGTGCTTCAGAGCATGTTCCATAACATAAAAAGACATTTTTATTTTTATTAAGCTTAAACATGCTATTAAGAGAAGTAACATGTTTCACAGGATAGTCTTAGATGACTTTTATGACAGTCAGTGTTGAACAGTGCAGATACTATAGTTGTTAAAATACGAGTATGGGCATATTTGAGCCAATGAACCATATTGAATAGATTTTCTACCAGGATTTGAAATAAGTAACGGATTTAAGCAAGGATTGGAAATACAATAACTGATTTGCCAAAACAGAAATGGTCCATGGAGCAGACTTAATTAACTCACATGAGGGGGCATAGCTACCTTGTAACGGGAAGTTAAATCAATTGGGGATAAATTTAGACAGATCAGTACAATTTAGTTTCATTGTATAAATGAATTTAGAGAACTGTGAAAAAGCAATGCTTGACATTTGCATTCGTGAAAACTTAAGGATGAACATGCTTTCATCCTTAGTGGATGAAAGTCCTAGAGAAAGTGACACACAGAGGCTCAGAACACTGAAATGTTTTATAGGACCAATGACATTTACGGCCATGATGCCCCTGGGTTCTGGGGTGCATTTCTGTGGTAGGAATCACACACCTGCCTGTAACAGCCATACCCTCTCAGCTTTCCACGACCAATCCTGTGCAATTCAGCTTAGGAGCAACAAACAATACATAAAATACAGCATAAAATTTAAAAGTACAGCCTCACAGTGAAGGAAGCAACTGAGCACAGCCCCGCACCCCTCTGGGGGCAGGGGAGTCATTCTCCCTGACTATCAGACCTGGCAGGGGTAGCTCCTGTCAGCACACCTTTGTACAACTGCAGCCCACCATTAATTCAACTCATCCCTCAGTGCTGTGTCATTGGATCCTCTTGGGTTCCTTCAGTGTTAAGATACAAAGCCTAGTAAAAAAAAGGAGTGCCTTCTAGCTGATCTGCTGTTTCCTTTTTCAGCAGCCTGCTCCTCCCTGGAGAGCTGATTACTCAGTTAACAGGGATTTAATAAAAACTTCCAACTGATTTATTTTTTTAATTGTGCAGTACTGTACCTAATAAAATCCTCTCTGTTTTTTCCCTAAGGAAAACACAGGGCACATGAAAATGACCAGGTTTCCCTTAGCTCAACTTTATGCATGCACTGAACTTGAGGCGGCATATTTTAAGTCATAAGAGTACCTTTTCAGATCAGGTGTTTGCAAGCACTCCATGGCAGTAGAGCTTTCATGCACTTTCTTAATTATTTTTTAACTGCTGAGTTTCCCCTTCTGAAATTGGTACAGTTACTCAGATCATTTGCATTAAGTTCATACAAGCACACGAAGCCTCTAAGTTAGCCAAGAGCTGAGATTAATCTGGTGGAATGGGGCATCCCTTCAAAAGGAAGTAGGACAATTCAGCCTGTAAGACCTTCCTCCTAGTGGTAAACGAGTATTAATTTTGTTTATAGCCTAGTTCTCAGTGTACCCGCTTATCAAAGGAAAACCAATGCAACTTACTCAGAAAAGGCAATGGAACTTACTTATGATCAGCTGTTTTGTTGTCAGAGCACAAGATGTACAGCCTGCAGACTCACTGAAAGCAGCAGGGCATGTTTGCTTCCAAATGCTTTAACCAATCCTCCTCTTTTCCTTAAGCCAACATTTTGTGTTTCTCCTTTGATAGCTGAACATTGCCACAAGTTTTACATAAAATGTTGCTGATTGAAACTTGAGATTAGAAAACCTGAGCTGAGTGAATTACCCACTCTAACACTCTCCCCTTGGCTTTAGCCTTGTCAGTAATTTTGCCTACCACCAGGATTACTGACTCCCAGTCCGTTGCAAAGCAGCTATCTGGTATGCTTCTGCTGCCACGTGTACTAGCAATTAGTTAGCGACCCTGTCATCCTCCCCTAGAAGACCTGCTTTAGCAAGATCTAGTCCAAACTCAGACAAATATGCTCCCTCCAATAACACACTGAGCTAGAGGATAACAAACTACTCATGCTTATTCATACTGCACCAGGGATATCACAAGTACTCTTGTACGTCCCCTCATTACTTTATCTTGTCCTGGGAGTAGCCATTTGCTTCAATTCATTTCTGGTAGGTTTGTCTTTAGGCAATTTGAGATGAGAAGGATGGAGAAGTCTGTATACTGTTCAGTGATAGATGGTTATGGGTTTTGTTAGTTTTCATTGCACCAAGAAAGAAAAGACACGTATTTTTGATTTTCCTGACCTTCCTTGAATGTACCCTGAAAGGAGATATGCTTCCCCAAGGAAACTGGTTTCCTAGTTCAAGAAAAAAGGCCTTAAGATGCTTGACCATATTGAAATTGTATAACCATTGTGGCTTTTATCACTTAAGATACATTATGCATGAATATTCATTTTCAGCCTTACTTTTACATTTAAGTTTGCAGCACCATATTTCATATTAATGTTTCTAGCTAAGGATACATACTGCTCTTGGTAGTTAAGTGACAGTTAATCCAACACTTGCACAGAAGTGCCTTTAAAAGTCATTTGATGTATCAAGGTAGGCCAGTGCTGGTGACAACTGAGGCTTAGTTAAATTGTATTATCAACAATGACACAATGTTAAGAATGAGATGTCAGCTGTGTAAAATAAATCAAAAAATTAAAGTTCTCTCAGCAGTTGTAAATCTATTTGGTTGCATATATCTTTTACAGACAGGTATTTTCAAAAGACCATAAAGTGTATATGCCAGAGAACATGCTGCATGTACACATGTGACATTCTACGGTAGCAAGAGTATAATCCCTTTCTGTTATTTTTTTTATAGCAATCTGGTAAAGTATACATGAACATCATTGTGGGGGAGGAGGGAGGAACAAAAACACCAGCAGATGGTAGACTGAAGTCTTTCCCTGGTATCTCTTATGTAGTCCAAAGAGTTGCATCAAAGATTAATTTGGCAGCAATTGTAGTATGGATTGCAAACTAAGACACCCTGGAATCATCATCTCTACCAAGCAGTTTTGGTTCTAGTCATCATGACATCTAGTTCCTCTCCTCTGTTCTCTCTCTTAATAATGTTTAGTTCACCACCTACATAGATCATTACTACGTAAACTTTAAAAGCAAACAAAAGCAGATAATACATAAATGCATCTGGCACAAATTGAACTGCAAAATCTGTTATTGATGGTGCTTGTTACAGACAGCCACCCATACAAACATCTCTAATGGTGAGAAAACAACTCCAGGTTAGCAATAGTCTTAAAACTATGTATCCTCAATGCCAGTGCTTGCAGGAACATCATACCAGGTATAGACACCTGTAACCCAGGAGGTGAGGGAGTTGTAGTCTCTTCTTCATCAGTAATCTTGTCTGACTGGGGACACGAGGGCAAAACCAAAGCACATCTTATACTTCCCTTGGTGTTACCTGTTGCTCCCCACATGAAGATAGTGATTGGACTCACCTGTGACTATTGTCCAGTTACAATTTTTAGATCTGTGTGTCATTGCAGTATTTTTGTTATTCTCGTTTTAATAGTGCTGTGAAAAATTTCTCCTGTAGTCACATGCCTATTGACATTTTAATGTGTGTTGAATACATGCACGATTTGGTTTAAGGCTGCACCATCTGGAAGGCACAGGAGACTGTTTCCTTCTGCATTGCCCTGGAGTGAGATAATCTGAATGGAGTGATAGTGCCAGAATATATGATGTCCATGCTACACCCTTCCTATGTTTATATATAAAGATGATTAGTGGTTTATCCTCCCGTTCTGGTTTAGCAATGACTACCCCCCTACACGACTTCTTGAAATACCAAGCCCAATTTCTGTTATCGTGCACCTTCAGCAGTTCAGCTGAAGCTAAACTGTAAAGCTCAGCCAGGTCAAGGCTTCTCAGCAACTGAATTCTGTCATCCCAAGTGCAAGAGGCTGCATGACTTGCTGATTGTGCCACAGGAAAATGACAGGGAGAAGGGACGGAGCCAGTCTGTTGCTTTGGAAAGGGGTGGGATAGGATAGAAATGGGGACTTGCTGCTGGAAGCTTACTGCTTTGTTCCGCTATCAGAATCACTCCAGGATCCTTATCTGCTAATCACCAATTAGTATTTCCTTTCTCTTTCCTAAACATGGTTTGTATTCTCCCCTGAGCCAAGATCCCCGTGGCAATTTTACAATTGCAAGTCATAGCATGCAGAACACCCTGCCCAATAAATTTGCAATCTAACTGAAATGATTCACCATCTAGTATAACCATTCCTTATTAAGATTCATGGTAGATTTTATGGATGCTTTGAAGGCTCTGCTAATGGAATACCATTCACCTGGGTACTCTAGCACATCTGAATGGTTCCTTGGATCACAGTTTTTGCATACATACAGACAATTGGAAATATTACAGTGTTCCATCACATAACAGTGAAAATTTCCAATCCATTTCTAAAGTCTAATTTTCTTTCCTATTTTAGGGCCAAATGAACTTGATTGCAGTCTGATTATGGATTCTGGAGATACTGTTTATACAGAATTTGACTTTGAAGACCAGGTAACTTTATATACATGTGGCCTCTCTCTAGACAGTTTTCTAGTTTATGTACATACTGTGCTATACCGTTTCTCTGAACAAGGTGGTGCAACTTTAAGGGTACCTAAGCTAAAGGGCTTTTTAAGTGCAATATAAGTAAATTCATGATACACAGAGGTTGCTTTCTAGTTATGAGAAAAGAATGAATATTATCGTGCTATTAAGAGCCCATATCTTCCATTACTGTGCATTGCTGAATTTCATCCACAAATTTCAAAATGTTGGCAAACGTGGCAAATGGAATTGTTGGAATGCACTGTAGGTCTACTGTATATTCAAGAAGAGGGAGCAAAACATTTTTCAAGAGAGAGGCATGAAAGTATGAAAAGTGTGAAATGGAACTAAAACCAAATCAAACATTCTCCCCTTGAAAAATAAAAGCATTTTTAAAAATAAAAAAAACAACAAATGCTTACATTGTGTTGAAGCCAGCTTTTCTACTGATCCCATTCTATCCACACCTAAAAACTAAATTTTGATAGTGTTTTCCTTGTACATAGGAAGAAAGAAGGCTAGAGAGGGAGAAAAAGGTTGTATGCATCTTTCCCCTCTAATCTTCACCTCAGCACTGGTAAGGCCACATCTCGAGTACTGTGTCTTTGTCCTGTCCTGGACTCACTGCTACAACATATGGAGCTACTGAAGAGAGTCCAGTGAAGGGCCACTAAGATGATTAAGGGACTAGGCCATCTCTCCTATGGGGAAAGGCCAAGAGAGGTGGGAGCGTTCAGCCTGGAAATGAGAAGGCTTAGGGGGGATCTCATCAATGTGTACAGAAATCTGAAGGGAGGGTGCAAAGAAGATGGAGCCAGGCTCTTTTCAGTGGTGCTCAGTGACAGGAAAAGAAGCAATGGGCACAAACTGAAACAAGGAAGGTTCCTGCAGCTTGGATACTGTGCTAAGGATAAGTGTTATTATTCTTGTTACTGTGCTGTGGATAAGCATTAAAAGAATGACTTCTAATTAAAGAAAATATTTTTAGAGCCATCTGCCTATCACACCACCATATTTAAGCGTTTTGCTTTCTGCCTTTCACTTTTGCACGACTCTGCTTGCATTTTCTTCACAAATGCCATAAACACTTCCGTAGATTTGTGAGCAGCTTGGCAAAGAATGTTATTCTGTGTTTCTGTTATCATTCAACTAAATGCAGTTGCAAATGTTCTCACCTCTTTCCTCATTATTTGCAAAAGATTTATTTTCTCATGAAATTTTAAAGCTAGTGACAAAATCAGGACCAACAAAACTGAATTTTCATTCAGTATCATCCGTTCATTCATTGGTTTTCTTTCACAGTATTCAATTCAACACTTTATCCTCACCTGCAACATGTTATATGTTCTAGCCCTATTCATTTCTGTTAATTTATGATCCTTTTACTGTTCTTTTTGGCTCAGTTATTTCAGTTTGGCTTTTTTCAAGCAGACAGCTTGCCTCTGTCTCCAAATCCCATTTTAAATCCCATTATTTCATAAGTCCTTCTTAAAACATTCTCTACCCCATCTTAAGTTTCTCATCATCTTTGTCTTGATTGTACTACTTCTTTATTGCTGGGTTTAGGCATTTATGCCCTATAAAGCAGAATGTATATTTAAATCATGTTTGGATTATGTTGATGTTAAATTTTGCATTTTATTGACATTCTAAATACATTCTTTTGGCAGAGTATGAAGACTAAAGAAATTACACTCTTGGTTCATAATGTTTGAAATGCTGTTCAAATAATAAGCACAAGTTTTATAGTTACAAAATAAAATTAACAGAAAGAGATATATGAAAATTATACTAGTTTATAATTTCAAACACAGTCCATAAAAGCACTGAGTGTAGTTTTGAATGAAGTTGCATGTGGTTCTTACGTGAGACTAAACAAGACGACGATGACAGGACCTTATTGTCTTTGTCAATAGCAAATATTCTTTCTGCCAGATGTGGTGGTTAGCTTTTCTCATTATTTTGCCAGACCAACACATTGCCATTCTGGCAAGAGTGCAATACTGTTATCAAATAGAAAAGGAGAAATGAAGTAAAAACAGTGCTAAAAGCCCTTCAGTCAAAGAGAGATATATAAATATGAAGTGGCTGACAATGACTCTCTTCAACTGTAAGTTGATATCTTTGATACTTTTGTGACATTTAAATAAATATAAATATTTCTATTACTAATAAATATTTTTATACCCAGTTCATATGAGATGCCTTGTTCAAATATGAAGAAAATATAAAGGAAAAAAGCAACTGCAACTAAAATCCCTTACCATCTAAATTTTGAAATAGTGCAAGCAACTATTATATACAGAAGCAAAGAAGTGAGTGGAGATTACCATAAAGTCATAATATCATCTAGCTACCCAGTCTGAAAAACAAAATAAGAAATAACTCTAGGTAGAAAAGATCGATAAATAAATTCAGGAGTGAGAAACTGCTTGCATTCAAAACTTGAGCTCATTTTGACTATAGCAGTGATTTAATACTCCAGTGATTTACCACATGCTGTTTACGAATTGTATGAAGCACCAACAACCTTAACTCCGAGAGTCTCAAGTGGAAAAGGAATGCATGTCTGGATACAAATGTGTCATGCAGTGATGTTACTGCATAGGAAATCTGTCATGTGAATGTGGGGGATAAGAAGTGGTGTTTCTAAGCAACCTTACACAGCTGAGCTGCTAAAAATGGCTGGATTTTAGCAGAACATCTTGGTAGTCACTGAATAAGAGGGGTTGGGGGTTAGAGCAGTACACAACACGTACTGAAGACAAAGCCACAGCTGGGAATGAGTATCACTTGGCACAGCTGAAATGGACATACAGATACCTTTGCATTTTCTCATTCTTGGAATGAGCCAGGAAAATCTCCAGTGTAAATTAAGCCAACAAAGTATCCAATTTCTTCAGATGTACGCTACTTCTTCCAGAATAACCTCTCTCATACTGGCAGGCAGGAACAAGGAGAATGAGTGGTGTGGTTCCAACTACCGATGCAGTCATCAGCTCATCTAGGAGTGCTCCAAAATACAGCAAAGTTCTTTGAGAAACACTTGGTACCTGTTGTTGGAACAGTGCAAAGCAACACTAACACAGGCTGAGAGCTAGCTTTTCTGGAGGAGTATGCAGGGGAAATAGAATTAAAAATAACTCAGAAAAAGCTTGAGCTTTGTATTGTACATTTTATAAATGAATGTTCAGTTAAATTCATGTAACTAAATTAAAAGCAAGCTGATAGTTTTCTAACAGCTATGCATGAATGCCTCAAGAACTAGAGCTTTTAATCACTAAGTCCTTACAGCATTGAAAGGAGGAGGGAATACTCACTTTAAAAAACAACCAACCAACCACAAACAACTCCCAAACAATTTTTTTTCTCCAAATCGCTAATAACTATTTTTCTGTTCTTTCTCAGATCTGTAGCTGTCAGATCCTATATTACAGAAGGAATAATCTAGGTTTTTGGAATGACTGCCCAAAATATAATCTTCAAATAAACCAAAAAATAAAAGCAGACAGTACCTCTCATTGAGAATGCCTTGTGGAAGAACCAGCTGAAGCTTTATGTGGTAGCAATGCCTATATAGCCTTTTCTGGAGTAATGATTATGCTACTCATGACTTGATTGAAAAACATAAAAGCAAATTAAAGTGATAAGTTTCAGCTATTTTCACCTATATTAAGACATCAGGAGTATGTTTTGGGCCACTCATTTTTGGATGCAACAGCATAGCTTCTAATGAGTGAAGACCTGTGCTTTATAGAATATTCTCAATTTGCAGAAATTGCTGTCATGACTAGTGTCTGGTTTAATAAGGATTGTCTTTTACTGCTGGAATGTTCTCAAGCGTGATACAGGTTTTCACTGCTCACTGTGTTCATTTATGCTTGCCTTTCAATTTCTCAACTTTGCCAGAGAGGCTGTCAATATAATGCCACTTGTTTCCAGAGATCAGACAAGCTTTATCTTCAAGAATTGGATTTTTAATTGGAATCCTACCATTCGGCTTATTTCAAGTGCATTCAGGCCAAAAGGGAATATTGAAACACTGGCATCAGTGAATCTCATCAGAGTTCCAGAAGAAAAGAGCATCCAATTATTTTCTTGTGAAAACAAGGCTTTCAAGACAACCATAGCTAGTCTGAGGAATATTTAGACTAGTGAGAGAAAAAGTTAAAACATACAGTCTGACAACTGTAGAGTGAATACACTCCTGAACAAGTGCTTATAGAATTGATAACTTTAAAATTTGGGAAACATGAAAATCAGGTAAAATTCAAGTAAAACCTTAAAAATACACTTAGCCTCCTCTAATATTTGGGGACGGGGGCAGAAATATATTTCACATCTACAAAACATTGAAACGCATTTTTATGCCTCAAAGGAAGTTACCAGTTCCTAACTGAGGCATTTCCATGTCCTTCCAGTGTCAGACTGCGTTTAGTTATGCAATTGGGTAAATGCAATGGCACATGCAAAGGGGAGATTGCCTTTTTTTTTTTCCTCCCCAAGTGTGTCAAAAACCTAGGAAAAGTAGATGTAAAACAGACTGAAAGATAAAAAAAGGTTTTGTGTTCAGCAGTGACAAGCAATCTATTGAATTAAGAAAATCGCATAACCCAATCTTTGCTGCAAGTGCGGAATGTTTTATAATTAGAAAATGTGACAGCTCACTTGAAAAGCAACAAGCAAAACCAAAATGAAGTGGAGGAAAAAACCCTCAAAGAGACTTACTTTCATTCTAACGAGAGGAAACAAGCTCTTGATTAAAAGTTGTTGCCATGTAGTGACAACTCTTCTTACAGCTCGCTGTCATTTCCCACCCAGAGCCCATATGAATCTAGGCTTTAGGGGAGCAGGAGGAAAGCTTTAAGTGAACAGATGAAAAACAGACTCCATTGTCACTAAGACTATAACAACATTTCTGGCCTGACTGATTATCATAGCTTGAAACTTATATATTCAAGAGAAAT